CCCCCCCCCCCCCCCCCCCGTCACGTTATGGATTGGTATCGTTCGAAGGTGCGCGAGCAGTACGTGCTCACGAGTATCAAGACGAAGATGAGCACTCCAGGCTACACTTCGGCAACATGAGCGACCCCGACCACGACGGTGTTGCCGTACCTTCCCCGTGTGCTAGACTTTTCCCGAAAAGCCGTTTGCTGCGAAGGGCAGCGGCGGTGAAAAAACTTGGACGCCATCAGCGACATGTGCGTTGCTTTTGTTTCGATATGTGAACCAAGCTCTGTGGGGCTGAGGGTTTTTGTTGTCTTAAGCGCATTCTTCTAATCCTGTCTCCCCTGGTGTACTGTTTGGCAATTTGTCAGGCCGATAATACTCTTAATGGACGTTCAAGCTCTGGTGAACGTCCAACACTCTCGTTTGTTGTGTTCCTGACGCGTTTCCAGCGTTATTATTGATAGTCATTTCCCCATATTTTCAGTGTGCCCTGGCGTTGCTCCTAGGCAGTCGACGCGCTGGTGGTTTGTCGCAAGCTCTTTGTGTATGACCCCGTCACGGCAAACAAACTGACATGTATTCACATGAAACGCTCTTTGTTCTTTGTTTCGTGTCTCAGGTTCTAGGAGACCTTCATGCGGTTCGGCTTGGAATACGTTGGGCCAATCCTCTCCACCGAAAGTGTTGATCGTCACGACGACGCTAAGCCCTACCTCGAGCCGTGCTTGTTCGCGGACGAGGGGGCAGAAGGTGGAGGAGATGACCCAGGGGCGGATGGGGGTGGAGGTTAAAGTTAAGATAGAGACGGGGATGTTATTCGTCTCCGAGCGATGGTCCTGATGACCACGCTGGCTACAAAGCCTTGCCGGACACTTACACCGTGTTGACAAGGTGTGTCATGTGTCTTGTCCTTTCCAATAATCGTGCTGCCGCTCTTCTGCCTCTTTTTTTCTGCTTGCGATGATGTTGGATGCTTGTCGTGCATCCGTTATGCCCGCGGCTCCCTATAATGTACACCCTTCCTCATCCCAGCGTGTCCGTTGGCGATACTTGATGGTCGAATGTACCTCGCCTCCCTTATTTTTGTTCTGCGGGGGTGCGTAGCTTATCCTCGTCTCTGACGTATTCTACGACCTGCGGTAATGCTGTCGGTTTGTGCCCCCCCACCCTCCCCCAGTGTTTGCCATCGGGGTTGGGTTTTCGTTGTAAAACAAGCCAACTCACATCGTGAACTCGGCAACCAGGTTACCGTTTTTTTTTTTTACCTCTGNAGGGGTATCAATCAGGCAGATTTTGGAGCCAAAAATGTGACCGGTCTATTCAGCGATTTTGGAGGGGGGCACACGGATTGGGTTCTTTCTCGGCTCTCGAGAGTGCCCGCCTATTATACTGATTAAAAAGTACATCAGTCAGTTTGTTTGTGCAGGTAGTTCTGCGCCCAGGCAGCAGCGTGGCTCTTCATACGTTCCACACACCTGGACACAAGTCCAATAGAGGCGACTGTAAGCTCGGTTTTCTCTTGAAGTTCAAGGGCGGACGAACAACACCAAAAAACATGTTTTTTTTAGCTCTTTGCTCCACGCCCAAGGCGAACTTTGCTCCTCTCGAATAAGCGAGCTTACAGCCCTCTACCTTGGGCTTACAGCTATACCACACAACAAACCGCATCCGAATCGCGTCAGCCAATCACGAGATCTACATGTCTGAAAACGGCCCCTCCAGTGGGGCTGCAGCGCCCACACCAGCAGGCCCTCCCAAAAAAAAAAATCGAGGTCCGCGCCGTTCGGCAGCAAGAGGCGCGCTNAGGCGAACTTTGCTCCTCTCGAATAAGCGAGCTTACAGCCCTCTACCTTGGGCTTACAGCTATACCACACAACAAACCGCATCCGAATCGCGTCAGCCAATCACGAGATCTACATGTCTGAAAACGGCCCCTCCAGTGGGGCTGCAGCGCCCACACCAGCAGGCCCTCCCAAAAAAAAAAATCGAGGTCCGCGCCGTTCGGCAGCAAGAGGCGCGCTGCGCGAAAGCTGCATCAAAACAAAACGAAGTTTGAAGAGAGGACGGGGCAGTGTATGGTTGCCGCGTCAGCAGAAGATAACACGCGGCGCGCTATCGAACGCGGCAGCCTCACCGTCGTAGAGAGAACGCTGAAGGAAACGAGGGAGGAGTTGGTCAAAAGTAAGAAAATTGTGGAAGAGAGCCAGGCTCAACCTCGCTGCCGCCGCCGCCGCTGCGGCGGCGGCAGGTGTCTGCGTGGCTTCACCGCCCGGCTGCTGCTCGGGTGTCTCATGAGGCGTGTGTTCTAGAGTGGGACCGCGCAAAGGTGTTGTGCTGTGTCCCACAGCAGGGCACATCAGAGCACACACGCGAGCGGCGCCCTCGCGCGTGCGCGTCAGGTGTTTTTAGTGAGCTTTCGGACCGTTTCGTCCAATTTTGTTGGTCAGTCGATTTTCCATCAGGAAGATCCGAGGCCACTTTTTCAATTTTTTTCCTGTAGGAAATTTGCTGCTTTGACACCCCTTTAATTATAACAGTGCTTAGAGCCTGTCTTATCGAAATCGGAAAAATCTGCTTCCAGGAAAAAAAA